AACTGCTTCTTCTTGGGGATGGCCTCAGGAGGATCTTCGCTCTTGCTGTCGGGGTTATCGATTGCCACAGCTTGAAAAGCGCGCTCGAGGGAGCACACCGCATCTCTTTCTTCGCACGGGACCGTGATGATTCCGTCGCTTCCTAGCATCTTGAGGACATTGTAACCGTGGTGTGTCACCGCCATGAACTTGGCCAGGGTTGGATACCCGAGGATGGCGTCGTATGGCAGACGGATGTGCGCGACGTCGAAGTCGATGGGCTCGGTGCGGTAGTTCTTTCCTTCCCCGAAGGTGACAGGGAGGCGGACCTGCCCTATCGGTGTGGTCGAACCGTCGGTCACTCCAGAGAAAGGCTTGGTAGGCTGAAGCTGCTCATATGACAGTTGGAGGTTGTCGAATGTGTCGACGGACAGGACGTTGAGCCCTGCACCGCCGTTGATGAGGGTCTTGGTAACTTGCACATTGCTGATGAATGGTGAACAAAGCATCGGGAGAACGCCAGCAGTGGCTGCGCACTTGAGCTGATCTACCGAGCTGAAGGTGATGGCGCACTGGGACCACCTGAGAGGGCGCGTGGCCTCGAGCTTGGGGAGGACTGCATTCACCTCACAGGCGAACTGTTTGAAGATACGCTGAGAGGCTGGGGCCTGAGCACCGCCCAAGATGCAGGCGATTGCACGCGACTCCTGGAAGCCCCCAGCCCCCTCGTCTTGATGGTGGTCATCATTCCTTCTTGGTGGTGGCGGCAGCGGGGGAAGACCGGTGTTGCCCTGAGGACGATCCTCATGAGTCTGGTCCCTCCGGGTGCCCTCGCGAGGATGATCCTGCCAAGCGGTCCTCATGAGGTCTGTCGCGCCACTCCTAGCGCGGGCCACGGTTGTCCCAGCGTCCGCCTCCACGTTCTCCTCCTCGACCGTAGCCCCGGTCGCTGCGCTCGGGGCGTCGACCGAAGCGTCCTTCGCGAATGGCTCTGAGTTCTTGACAGTCACTAGTGTTGTGGGTGTTCAGGTTGTGGAAGGCGTAGGGAACCCAGGCCTTGCAACATGGCAAACCCTAGTATCCGCGCAGGCACGAGACGTGGGTGTCGTACATGCATGTATCGACTCGCGATCCAGTGCGATCGCATGCACGTCGACTCTCCCCCTCCGATTGGTCACCTGGCTAGCTCGTTGGGCCTCATACCCAGTACTAACCAAGCCCAATTCGGAATTAGTTTCTCCTGTCCCACCTCGGCCCAACAAAAAATTCAAACACTCCTGCCTTGCCGCACGGATCTCGCGAACCTCGTCGGTCGCCGCCGACGGCCAGACCATCGTCGGGGCACCCTTCTTCTTCTTCTTCTTCTTTCTAGTGACCTTCGTCCACACCTCCAGTCATAAAAAGTCTGACAAAGTAATTGTGGACGAACTCACCTTAGGGACAGGACCAATCCAAGGCTTAATCTCCGGCGCCGAAGAAGGTGGCCTTGGGCCGAAGGCCACCGCGTTCTTGCGCCTCTCGCCAGAATCTGACTGCAGCGGTGATGCGGAGCATGGCATCGCCGGCAGCAACCCTGGCTTCTCTTCCAGGCAGACAACTTGTGGTTGGTCCTTCGGGTCATTATCTTCCTCATCAGCCAGAACCCAAAAGCGTCCCCCAAACCGCGGCTTCGAGGGTTCAGGCTCCGCCGTGAGATCGACGACCTCGATCTGATCCTCCACGTTCAACGAACCCTGCACGCAAGCAACAACACAAACCTTGAAAACATCGATTGACAAACGCGTACCTTAGGTGATCCTCTCATCGACGTCCAGGTACCGTCCGCCAAGGATGTCCCCCTCATGGTCTCTCATCGTCGCCCATCTCGACGGATAGTGCGTGTAGAGAAATCCCTCTCTCAATCGTCCGGCAGCCCGAACATCATCGAAACAAATCCTCCATCTTACCGGATCTAGGAACCCCTCCCCCCTGATCTGATCCAGATCAGTCGGCTATGGTGATCCGCGTATCGCCGATCTGGGCGCCTTCCCCTGCGGCGCCAACGATGACTGCTGCCCCTACGCCGCCAGAGTCGTCGGCAGCCCTTGCGCCGCTGCTGGCGACCCGAGTTGTAGCGATGGTGGAGGTTCTGGTGGAGGCAGCAGGGTCGCCGCCCCATCGCCCTCGCCCTCACCGTCTCTCATCTCAGCTCAGTACAACGAACAGGAGTGGATCTCTTTTGTTGCCATCCTAAAATTGGGTGAAAATTTCACTTCCCCGGCCCGCCGTACAAATGAACATCAAATACACATAAAAATGCCCTACTGTATGTATCATAAACTTGTTTTGTATAAAAAAATTGCAAATCATGCGGGGATTTTATTCCAGAGTCACAAGGTTACAATCAAGAGAGGTAATAAATCCTCACTACATGGAGGACATATGCTCATCCATACCGCAGTACATGGCTTGATACAATTATAATTTGCCATACAATCTGCTGCCCTATTTTGGTTCCTACTAATTTTATTTCTTAGAAAATGGTCTAGACTGATTGCCATAGTCACCGTAAAAAATCGAGAGAGAATATGAAGGCAATCTTAAATGCCAGTGAGGACTAGCTGGTAGCATCTTCTTATCGGGTCGGGTACAAGCCCGCTTTTTTTTTGCGCTAGTAGTAACCAAACCATCAGCAAAACAAAAAACTATTTATCTATTTGCCGAAAAATTACCACGGCTACTTGCAGGAATCTTCTATATCTAAAAATTTAGCCCTCACTAACTTATTTAAAGCATATATATCTCGCTACAATTGCCATATCACCCTGATTAGCTTTAGCAATTAATTGAACGCATGTATGTGTCTATAAACTCAATTTCTTTTCCGCACTATACCAGGCAGACTTTTTTCTAACTCCCTTTCAATTGGGAACCAAGCACACATATAATCTGATAAAAAATATGCAATATATTATTAATTTAAGGATACATATTCATACAAACCAAATTTCACTGAAGCATACCATAACCAATTTCCATGGCAGCGCGCTGTGTATCATCTAGCTGAAAGCTGCAAAAACGTTCTAATATTATGGATCGAGAAAGCTGCTAAAACTTTCTTATATTATAAGACGGAGGGAGTAGTTAATTTAGATAGCAGTAACTTACTGCACATGTCTGTATCCTAGCAGATCACACTGCCTACTAGGCGCTAGCTATCATATATTCTGAAATGGAAAGGCAAAAACCGATCACGTAAAAGATGCATAATTCGATCGGCCAGTCAGCTAGCCCATGCAGGAATAATGTAGCATTTGCATACAGACGGCCGGCGAGCACGTGTTCAATTCGTCAAAAATTGTTAGGCACGAGCTCCACTTTCCGATTTATATACTCCGCCGTCTGATCATCGGAAGCACGTAATTTCATGCAGCGTAAAAATGAATATGCGTGCACACATGCTTGCAGCACGCACACGCACGCATTCAATCGAATACGATTCCCATCTAGAATTTCTCTCCCTTTCGATCGGACGTACTAACGTGTGAGTATACATGTACACGGAGGCGCCACCTCAGTGACGGAAAGCTCCTTTCATACAAGGAGTACCTAATGATCTTTGATGGGTTCTGGCTTATCGGTAACATAAGTACAGAGATCGTATAAATCCCTACGTAGTACATGCACTGATCACGATGAGAGCACAGGTTGGAGGGAGCTTTCGTGCATGTTTTTGCATAGCTAATCCGGGAAGAAACTTTAGCACCGAAGCATATTTCTTTTCAGCAGATAAATCAGTGACAGATTTTAGCTTTTGGGGCAGTAGACGTGCACCTATGTATCCAACAAGCCAGCCAAATCAATATGCAATCACGTAAGCACTATCTATGGCTAGCTAGCTAGGAAGTTAAGATAAGCCACAAATTTCTCTCTGCTGCATGCAGCAGATGCTTGAGAGCTTGTGAGTTACTATTAGGGACAAAGCTAGCAGGCAAAAGTAAATTCCACCATGCCGTACACAAAATATATACTTGACAATGAGAGAGAGTATCAATTTTGTTCTCGACAAAGGCAACATTGGTTTGATCGACCGGCCAGAAATTCCCTTTCGTGGAAAAACAATGCTGCAAAAGGTACGCAAAGATAGCTCTCATATTTCTTATTGTTTAAGTAAAGTCGAAAACTGTATGGCGAGTGAATCCCATTCCCCTGAGAATTAGGCTAGCTCTTTTTGTTTTCCTTTCAGGAAAAAGGTGAGTAGGATTCCTCGCACAACATCACATTCTTTCTTTTCAATTTTCCATATGGGAGTGCTCAAGCCATAGATTACGCATGAATTATATGTAGATCTCCCCATTGGCAATTAACCAACGCCATCAGTTAATGTCCTGTTCTTGACGTGTCGCGGGGCGGCCGCGACACATGTCAAATTTCGTGACCTCATGATGATCAATCACCTCATGCACTACGTAATTCTGGAAAATAACAATATGCGTAGCATATAGCTACCTTTTTTAGCTACCTACCTAGCTAGAATTTCCTTCTTTCTTCCAACAAATATATTCCAGGTAGCTTATCAAGAACATAAGCTAGCTAGGCACATATATTCTCCCGCGCGCACTACTCAAGTTTAATGAATGTACCATATATTCTGCTTCTCTCCCATCCCTGTGCATGCAACCAGCTACAGCATCTTCCTGACCTAACCTAGCTACAAACTAAAGACGCCCTTCTCTTCTCTGGTGCATGCACGCGTATATCGACGTACTAATCACTGGCAGTATAGTATCGCAGTCGCATAAGAAATCTATGTTCTGCGGCTGTCCCCCGTATACATGTCACCTCTACCCCACACCATCGATAATCTAGCTTCATCCACATCCACCTCTATATATACCCCCTTCATCTCGCCCTCCCTTGCTCCATCATCCCAGTGCTAGCTCGACCAAGTGCATCATCTATCGTTTGTTTTCCCTCAATCTCTAAGCCGATAGAAAGGTGAGAGTTGAGGGGTAGGTCGGCCGACCGGAGGGCTGTGGACCATGTCTGGCGTGTGGGTGTTCAAGAACGGTGTGGTGCGCCTGGTGGAGAACCCGGGGAGCGAGCGGACGTCGACGGTGCGACGGAAGGCGCTGCTGCACACGCCGAGCGGGCAGGTGGTGTCGTCGTACGCGACGCTGGAGGCGAAGCTGACGGCGCTGGGGTGGGAGCGCTACTACGAGGACCCGGCGCTGTACCAGTTCCACAAGCGCGGCTGCCTCGACCTCATCTCGCTCCCCAGGGACTTCAACCACTTCTCCTCCGTCCACATGTACGACGTCGTCATCAAGAACAGGGAATCCTTCCGCGTCGTCGACGCCTAGACGGCCCTCTTCCGTCCATGCAGTCTCTCGATCTCTTCTCATCAGTTCAGCTATAGCTCTTCTTCCATCGTTTGACTTGATTTCGCATGCAGGGTTTGTTGTTGTTAGTGATCCGGGTGTTATATATGATTGGTTGTGCCTGATTTGGTTGGGAGGTGTAGTGTGGTAGTGGAGTGAACGAGGGTACTGTTTCTGCACACATATGTGCGTGTGGTGCCGAGTATATGCATAGGTTTTCGTTGTGGTGTGTATATGTATGCGTGCTGGGGGTGTGTAAGATCTCTGTTTTGATGTAAATTAGTGTCCGTGTGATGACTATATATATCCACTTACGTTCATTTGCACGTTTCTCTGCATGCACATGCGTCATGCATGTTACCGGCCATGTTGCATGCCTAGGGAAATATATAAAGAATATATCATGCACGCATTGCTTCTCGTTATGATTGTTTGGTGGTGGGGAGGGGGGTGTGGGGGTTCTGATGAAAACATAGGGAATAGACAGCCACTCCAAAAAAAAATGAAAACATATAGGGAATAATAGGCTGACACGATGATATTTATGCTGCCTTTTTTTAGACAAATATTTAGACCGACTGATGCTAGGCAAGACAACCACTTACTCCACCCGTCCGCGAATAAGTGTATTTCTACCTTTTGTCCTAAATCAAACTTTGAAATTTTTACCAACTGTATAAAAAAGAGTAATAACATATATGACACCAAACTGGTATATTATAAAGGTACATTTTAAAACGGATCTACTGATACTAATTTAGTACCATAAATGCTGCTATTTTTTTCTATAAAATTGGTCAAAGTTTTAAAACTTTAACTTAGTACAAAAACTAGATGTGCATTTATTTGTGGACGGAGGGAGTACTTTGCTGGCATCCAAAATTGAATCGCTGAAGCTACAGCTACTGGGCCTTCGTTTGAATCACCACAGATTAACATTTTGAGCCACAGTAAGTACATGCTTCGTCACAAATTCGGCCCACCCACTAATCACCAAGGGCACAGTCGGGCGCCACTATGTCTCGCTTGACGCGAGAAAGCGGAGAGCAACTTGTCAAAGGGGTCACTTTTCTGGGCTGAGAACGTGTTGGGCGTCTCATCAGGACTTTTTTAATACACGTTTTCGGATTTTTAGATGGGTTTTTCTAGGGTTTTTTTGAATTTTTGGTTTTCGCTTGTTTTTTTAGGTTTCGGAGAAAAAAACTCAAAAAAACTGCATGGATTTTTTTGGGAAAGGGAATAAACGTGTTTTTTTCTTCCACGGGAAGCATAGATTTGTTTCCACAAGAAGCACACTATGCTTTCCGGAAAGGAAAAAACATGATTTTTTTTCTTTCACGAGAAACAGAGATTTGATTCTCGTGGTGGCACATATTTGCTTCCACGAGGAGCAAAGGGGAAGGGGTGAAACATGCATTTTTTTGCTTCTGGGAAAAGCAGGATTTGCTTTTCATGGAGACACAAGTTTTCTTCCACAAGAAGGATGGGGAAAGGAAAAAAAAACATGATTTTTTTTTGCTTCCAAGATAAGCACAGATTTACTTGTCATGGAGGCATGGATTTGCTTCCGCAAGAAGCGCATGGAAAGGGGAAAATGTGTTTTTATATGCTTCTCATGGAGGCATATATTTGCTTCTACGACAAGCACAGCTGAAAAAACGTACTTCATTTCGGTGTTTTCTAGGGCTTTTCGTGAAAAAAAAATCATCGAAACCTATTAATATGGGATATTGTTTCGATGATCTCTACGCGACAAATCCAGCAATGAAAACGGTTCGGGATTTGGCACACGGTTCAAGAGATAAAATGTTTTGAAGAAACGAATCTAAAAAAAAGGAAAACACCCAGATTGCGACAAGTGACGCACATGCACTGTGCCACTTGTCAGCGCCTGAGAAGATGGGAGCGACCTTTGTTGGTGCAAGTCCTTGCCCCTTGTGTTTTGGCGATTGTTGTCATAAATGGTTTGGGACTGATTTGTTTGCTAGTGCACATTGGGAAAATAGTCCCTGGAATATCGAGAAGAATGCTACATTCTGTCGAGAAGTTTGCTATAAACTTCACTAAGAGTTATCTGCACAGCAGAGACGATGACTATGTTCCAAGGAATGTTATTTTGAGAAGAATGCCATAATCTCCTGAAAAATTTGCTACCGAAAGGTTTGCTGCTGCAAAGTTTGCTGCCCAAAGATTTGCAACCGAGAAGATTGCCATAATCTTCTAAAAGGTTGCTACCGAGAAGATTGCTACTTCCGAGAGGCTTGCTATAAACTTCTGCGAAAGTTATCTAGACATCAAAGAATATTGATATGTTTCGAGAAGCTTAATATCGAGAAGATTGCTACTTCCGAGAAGTTTGCTATAAACTTCCTCCAAAGTTATATGCGTTGCAAAAAAGGTTATCATGTCTCAAAGAGTTTGTTATCAAGAAAATCGCGTGCTCGAGATGGTCCGAAAAAATATTGCTGAAGCGAAGCAATTTCCATTCGGTGTGTTCGAAGAAGAATGGCTGCAGTCGAGAAGAATGAAGCGAAGCAAAACGTAGTATTTGTTTCATTGTTTCTCTTTCTCTTAAGTCATAAGACCACCATACTATTAAGAGAGGCATAAGTATTCAAGGCTTTTGTCTGTTTTGATGCTTAGCTGAAACCTATGACAGTTTGGGAGAAATTTCTTTGTGTTCTGAATAAATACTCACCAGTGAGAGATGTTGTTCTTCCGGGTTGCGAGTGATTTGATTTGGGCTGAGGAGTCTGTCTTACTTATTCCTCAAGTAAAGGTGCGATGTGCTCAAAAATCCGACTGTTGGAAACGTGTCGATTGGCCATTGGCTAGACCGCGCGTCCTAAATGGTCATTTCCCATCCGAGAAAGCTACGGCTATAAATAGGTGCGCCGCACCAACGTTATTCGTCCGTTGCTCCATTTGAGATTTTGAGAAGATTGAGTGAGCACCCCTCTCTGAGAGATTTGAGTTTAAAATCCGCTGAGAGAACATTAATAGCCAAAACTTATATAGTTGTTGAGCATCACAGTAGATCTGAGTTGAGAGTTCTTGTGGCTATAAATCTTGAGAGCTGCTAACTCTATAGACGGTTAGGCCTCAGCTCGAGCGACGAAGAGTAATTGTCGTCTTCGAGTCAAAGTCTTCACCAACCAAGAGTCATTGCGGTTTGCGAAGAGTGACCAGGACTAATTGTGGTCACCGAAGACAAAGTCTGAAGAAGGTTTGGAGATTGCCGAGAAAATTCTACCATGAGTGAAATAAACTGAAGTTCGAGGAACTTGTCATTGAGGAGAATAGGACGGGGAGAGGTTATCTCCTATGTTGAATTACAAGTCCCTCCAACCAGACGTAGCTCTTTTGCAGAAGAGTGAACTGGTCTACCAAATCATTTGTCGCCATCGAGCACCACTGGTCATTTCTATTCTACTGCATTTCCTTCAATATTTTGTTTTTGGTCCTCTTGGTTGTCGATGGATATCAATATATATACTACGATACTTTATCTTCCAAGCATTCCTTTTAATATTGTGATAATGTTGTGTTGCATATTTGCTTTCGTGATACTTAAGGTTGTTTTGTCTGTATATTCATCTGCTTTTCATATGGTGCTACTTAGTCATTTAGTTGAGTCTTGCTCTAATGAACATTTTGCGGTAGTGTATAAGTTTTGTATTTGTGATGTGCGCAATTGTTTCATGTGTGCAATTCTATCAATGTTAGTAGTTTTATTTTTCTAGTATTTTTGTTTCATAGAACTGAAACTTCTCAGATTTGTTTCTGTAGTAATTTTGTTTTGTAAAACTGAAATTGCTCAGTTTTGTTTTGGAAACAGATTTTGTTTCGTAAAACTACATCGGTTTAGTTTTCCGATGTGCTGTGCGGAGAGTATTTAAGTTTTGAAAAAAAAATCTCCCATTCACCCCCCCCCCCTTGATCGATATACTCCTGTCCTAACAACATTTGCAAAGGGTACCCTTAATTAGTGATTTTGGAGATGGCACCAGATTAGTGTTGGGGAACGCAGTATTTCAAAAAATTTACCTACGATCACGCAAGATCTATCTAGAAGATGCATAGCAACGAGAGGGGAGAGTGTGTCCACGTACCTCATACGTCTCCAACGTATCTATAATTTTTTTATTGTTCCATGCTATTATATTATCTGTTTTGGATGTTTAATGGGCTTTAATATACTCTTTTATATTATTTTTGGGACTAACCTATTAACTGAAGGCCCAGTGCAAATTGATGTTTTTTGACTACTTCAGTGTTTCGCAGAAAAGGAATATCAAACGGAATCCAAACAGAACGAAACCTTCGCGAGGATCTTTCTTGGAACAAATGCAATCCAAGAGACTTGGAGTGGAAGTCAGAGACGCAACGAGGCGACCACGAGGCAGGAGGCCGCGCCCAGGGGGTAGGCGCGCCCCCACCCTTGTGGGCCCCTCGTAGCTCCGCCGACCTACTTATTTCGCTTATATATACTCTTATACCCTGAAAACATCCATGGGAGCCACGAAACCACGTTTCCATCGCCGCAACCTTATGTACCCGTGAGATACCATCTGGTGCCTTTTCCAGCGATCTGCCAGAGGGGGATTCGATCACGGGGGGCTTCTATATCAACACCATAGCCTCTCCGATGATGTGTGAGTAGTTTACCACAAGCCTTCGGGTCCATAGTTATTAGCTAGATGGCTTCTTCTCTCTCTTTGGTTCTCAATACAAAGTTCTCCTCGATGTTCTTGGAGATCTATTTGAAGTAGTACTTTTTGCGGTGTGTTTGTTGAGATCCGATGAATTGTGGGTTTATGATCAAGATTATCTATGAACAATATTTGATTCTTCTCTGAATTCTTATATGCATGATTTGATATTTTGCAAGTCTCTTCGAATTATCGGTTTAGTTTGGCCTACTAGATTGATCTTTCTTGCAATGGGAGAAGTGCTTAGCTTTGGGTTCAATCTTACGGTGC